GAAGAGCTTTGCTAACCCGTGCATCAATTACTTTTTGTAAAGCTTCATCTGCTCCTTCAAAATATTCAGATTGCTCTTGTTCAACAGCACGAGATTCAGGAGCAGGAGTGCCTTCACGAGATTGACGTGGTGAATTTTGAGGGGAAGGAACCACGTTAATGTTTTGTAAATCTCCTTGATTTTGATGGATTTGATTTTCATGGTTTCCCAAGGTATTTTCACTGTTATTGTTGTTGTTGTTGTTTGACATGATGATAACAACAGATAAAATGTAACTTAAAAAGAATAGATTATCAGATTCCGGTAACGGAACCAATTTGTTTAACCAAAAAACTGAATATTTGGTTAAAGCTAGAAATTAAGAGAGAAATCGGGTTACTGATAATCAAGAAATGAGAGACTTTAAGAATGACAATAAAACAATGAATAAGTTTATATTTCAGTATAGTCACAATGATCTCCCCTACAGATGTTGAGACCTTCTCCTTTTATAGTTAATTCTAAGGGAAAGTGTAATGCCTTTGTCTTAATGAGACAATTATGAGCAATAAATGACATTAAAAGAAACGTTACTCAATCATTCCTATTAAATACAAATTGTCTAACGTATTTGGCATTTAATGCTGAATTTGGACTCTTTTACGCTATCAGATTCATGTCTTCAATTCCTTCTGATCTTCGAGCTTTAAATGACTCGAACAGGTACGAGTCTCATTTCATTTGAATAATAGCTCATGCCTTTAAGTATCTTCTCTCCCGCATCTGTTGTTGCTCGTGCCTCCTAACTGATTACCACGTTTTGACCATTTGACCAATCCACGTATCATGACACGTCATCTTCAATATATAAATTCAGTTTTTTCCCAATACACTAAAAAGATAACCTCAATTAAAGGAACTGTTTTATTGGCTTACCAAGTGAACATTCCGAAAAAGTACTGGTTTCTATTATTAAAAAAATTAAGTACTAGTAAGCAAACATCACAGAATGGCATTTTCATTTGACTCAAAAAATGAAGCAGTCATATGCACTTGTTTTTCACAGCATGGTGCTTTTTTAAACCCAACATGCACTCAAATCTCCCAATTTCTTACTCTTCAACATCTACTGAATTTTGTTTCATAGTTGGAAGGGGTCAACTTAAGATAGTTTTAATAGTCAGAAAAAAGGAGCTGAAAGCAAAAAATTTCCTACCCATGATCTGTAATGAAAGAGAGTGATGGAATCGATTATTTCTTTTTAGTTTAATTTGCCAATTCTTCTTTGATGGGTAAGAGTTAGGCTTCCATTTGACAAATAAGACATCGCATCCCAAATACTCCTAGCGCCTTTGACAGGCACTCCAGAACACGCCACTGCTCGTGAAAATTTGGGTTGGTCGATCCTCATAACGAGGCATCTTCACAACCTTCTCCCTTCTGTCCCTAGGTTGGATAAGATAAGGCAGTTTGCTTCAATTGCCCAATCACGTAACTATTTTTGATATAATCATATGATATTCAATAACTACTGATCCAACTAATAGATGTCCATAAGGTCCACTAAAGGGGATATATTTCGGTCAATTTCATATATAGACCGAGTGTTTGGCTTAAAAAGTTAACGAACAGTGTTTAAGCAATTCAATTTAATATATGGAGAAGAGGTAAATCGTAATCAAAGATAATCGACACTAGAGTATGAGTAATCTTTTGTGGTTTGGTGATTCGGAGCAGTTAAAGGACAAAGTTGCGTGATAATGTTACAAAGATCCGAGGTATCCGTTTTTCAGAGAAAGAAAGAGATAGAAATTGAGACAGAGAGATAGAGAGAGTAAGTAGCAATGTTCTTGATCGAAAAAATCCCCCCCTTTACACAGTTGGGAACCCCCCTTATATAGCGGAGGGATTTCCTCTTTTCTTCTATTTACGATATAAAGAAAAAATATATAAACTAAAGATAAAGTGCACGTTACAGAGGAGCCGACGTGATTACATGGTCGTCTCTTGGACCCGACCTTTGTCCACATGACAGGTCGTGTCCCTTTTGAGGACGGGGTTGGTCAAACTCGACCCTATACAGTTAGTCCCTCCGCTCGTCGAGGTCGCAGTACGACGCGTCCTTGACGGGCGAAATTGATGCCCTCGTTCTTTTAGGGAGTTTGACCCCGCCAGGAGACTGTGGCGTGACATATGGGAGGCAGTCATCATGACAGTCAGGCCGTCAAGGCGTGGCGCCTTCCCTGATGTGACGTCGATAACTGCAGATGTCATCATTACGCATATTCTCGAGGTAGGAACTCAGCAATTCCGGCGCTTGGTTTCCCGCGCTGGTTCAAATCCTAACTCTTCGATTCTTGCGCTTCCCAATCCTTATAAATAGGGGAGGGGTTTAACTTGACCGGAACTTTGGACTACTTACACTCCCTTCCTAGGATATATTTCCTTTTTCCGGTACGTTTTTCTTGAGCGAGAATCCCCTTCCCTATATCGTGCATAGATCTTCCTCCGTTATCACCACCATGCCTAAACCTTGCCGCGGCGACGAGATGATTCCGGCAGCTGCACCATTGAATCTGCCCTCGCCTTCTGATGACGGTGCGGCGGAGGGAGAAGAGGATATGAGTCCTCTGACCGTGGAGGCGCTGCTGCCTCAACGCGCCTCATCACAGAATGATTTTAGTAAGGATTCCGCCACTCCGGTCCCTGAGATTTCCAGGTCGTTGCAGAACTATCTGGATGGTCTCCGCATTAAGTATAATGTACCGGCATACGTAGAGATGATTCCGGCCGGGGGGGATCTTGTGACCGTTCACAGGCTTTCACGACCTTCTGCTTCCCGCCCTTCGCCTGTACAGATTGCGCGTCATAATGCGCATGAGATGTGGATTTTTGCAGAAGCCAAGGTCGATGTGTACAGAGAGCTTCATGCTGCGGGCCGGGCTACCGAGGAAGAAGTCCAGAGACGAAGGGACGAGGCTCGTGCCGCTCGTGAAGTGTGCCGTTACGATTCCGACTCTCCCGATGGGGGCGGGCTCGCTTCCGACGATATTAACCATCTTGAATCCGGTTCGTGATATAGTGATGTCTACCATTCGGGGGATGATGGGCAATCTTGACCGTATGCACATGTACGTTTTTTTGTTTGCATAGTGTATTACGACCCGCTCGTGGGGGTGAATCTAAATGTGATTTTTGTTGTAATATAATTTTTCCTTTATTGTCTGTTTGTTCGTCACATTGTTTAGTTTTGGTAGAGCCTTTCGTTTGTCGAGTTGTCGCGCCGTCGTTCCACTGGGGTCGACCTAATATCGCTGACCTTAGCCGTCAGGATGCTTCTGACTTTTGTCGAAGTAATGTCCGTCGAGGTTCGAACGAGGTCGAAGCTCGAGCGGGGTCGAACTACGCTATTTTGATGGCGAAGGTACTTAGCCTGAGTCCCAGTTCGAGCGAGGTCGAACTGCACTATGGCGAAGGCATTTAGCCTGAGTCCCAGTTCGAGCGGGGTCGAACTGCACTATTTTAATGGCGAAGGCAGTTAGCCTGAGTCCCAGTTCGAGCGGGGTCGAACTGCACTATTTTAATGGCGAAGGCACTTAGCCTGAGTCCCAGTTCGAGCGAGGTCGAACTGCACTATTTTAATGGCGAAGGCACTTAGCCTGAGTCCCAGTTCGAGCGGGGTCGAACTGCACTATTTTAATGGCGAAGGCACTTAGCCTGAGTCCCAGTTCGAGCGAGGTCGAATCTGCACTATTTTAACGGCAAAGGCACTTAGCCTGAGTCCCAGTTCGGGCGAGGTCAAATCTGCACTATTTTAATGGTGAAGGCACTTAGCCTGAGTCCCAGTTTGAGCGGGGTCGAACTGCACTATTTTAATGGCGAAGGCACTTAGCCTGAGTCCCAGTTCGAGCGAGGTCGAATCTGCACTATTTTAATGGCGAAGGCACTTAGCCTGAGTCCCAGTTCGAGCGGGGTCGAACTGCACTATTTTAATGGCGAAGGCACTTAGCCTGAGTCCCAGTTCGAGCGAGGTCGAACTGGTGTCGACTGTTTTCTTGTTTGCGTAATGGAGATCTTGTTCATACAATGGAGATCTTTATTCATTCAATGGAGAATTCTATTCATACAATGGAGAACAACGGAGATACTAGGGTAGTCCCTTCACCATGTTGGCCTACGTGGTGAACTCGTGCTTCTTGTTCCACCGGGCGTCCCCTTCGTCGCCTCGTTAAAAACCTTCCCGAGAAAACCCAATTGGGACAAAACTCGGGTAAGGGAAAAAGAGTACGACTCGGGAGACACCTTTCAGAAGTGGAAGTGCTTGAGATGGGCGATGTTCCAATTGTTTTGGAGTAACTTTCCCTCCATCGTTTCTAGTTGGAATGCTCCTTTGCTAGCTGCCGCCGTAATTTTGTATGGCCCGTCCCAGTTGGTCCCTAACTTTCCTTCGTTCGGATCTTTCGATGCCAGTGTTTTGGCTTTGAGAACATAGTCGCCGACTTTAAGCGGTCTCACCCTGGCTTTCCTGTTGTAATATCTTTCCGCTTGTTGTTTTTGGGCGGCCATTCTTATGTGGGCCATGTCTCTTCGTTCCTCGACCTCGTCCAGGTCTTGTAACCTGCTGGCGTCGTTGTCTGCTCCACTGGTGTGTGAGTATCTCAGACTGGGTTCTCCGATCTCGACGGGTATGACGACATCGGTTCCATAGACCAATGAATAAGGTGTCTCCCCCGTGCTGGATTTGGGCGTAGTCCGGTATGCCCATAATACCTCGGGTAATAACTCGGGCCACAGCCCTTTGGCTTCTTCGAGCTTCTTCTTTAATATGTTCAGTATTGTTTTGTTTGAAGATTCGGCTTGACCGTTAGCAGCGGGATGATACGGGGTGGAGAGTATCCGCTTGATGTGCCACTTCTCGAAGAATTCGGTAGTCTTTTTGCCGATGAACTGGGGTCCGTTGTTGCAGCTGACTTCTTTGGGGATGCCGAAACGGCATATGATATTTTTCCATATGAATGCGATTACCTCTTGCTCGCGTATTTGCGCATACGCACCTGCTTCGATCCATTTAGAAAATAGTCAGTTAAAACTAACAGAAAGCGTACCTTTCCTCGTCCAGCTGGTAGGGGGCCGATTATGTTCATCCTCCATTTTATGAACGGCCATGGCGAAGTGACTGAGTGGAGGAGTTCTCCTGCCTGGTGTATCATAGGGGCGAACTTCTGGCATTGTTCGCATCTTCGGACGTAGTCCGCTGCCTCTTTCTTCATGGTGGGCCAGTAGTAACCGGCGCGTATGAGGCACCGGACAAGAGCGCGGTTCCCCGTATGGGCGCCGCAATGGCCTTCATGCACTTCTTCCAAAACTTGCCTTATTTGGTGTGGCCCGAGACATTTAGCAAGGGGACCACCGAACGTTCTCTTGTAGAGCTCGTGGTTTATGAGGCTGTAGTGGGCTGCTTGTACCCGAAGTTTCTTGGTTTCCTTTTTGTCGTGCGGGAGTGTCCCGTCCTGCAGGTAGGATACAAACTGGTTGCGCCAGTCCCAAGTTAAGCTTAATGAGAGTACCTCGACATGGTCGACGGCTGAATGGAGGAGAGTGACCACGTTCTCTTTGTTGATATTTTTGGTGGCTGCGGCTAGTTTTGCTAGGCTGTCCGCCTCGATGTTCTGTCCCCGAGGAATCTGCTCGAAGCGACATTCGTCGAACTCCATCATCAGCTTGCGGATTTCTGACTGGTATTTTTGTAGCCTTTGTTCCTTAATTTGGTAGGTTCCGGTGACCTGGTTTACCACGAGTTGGGAGTCGCAATGGAGGATGACCCGACGGGCTCCGTATTTGATGGCCAGCTTCATACCTGCAATAACAGCCTCATACTCGGCTTCGCTTAGTCATTTCAGGGCATCATACGGACTGGCGAATTACTTCTCCCATGGGGACTTCGAGGATGAGTCCCAGTCCTAATCCCGAGGCGTTTGCGGCGCCATCGGTGTAGAGGATCCAGAGGTCGGTGTTTGCAGAGGCGCGGAGGGCCTCTTGTTCCACCTCTGGCAAGATTCCCGTGCTGAAGTCGGCGACGAAGTCGGCAAGTAACTACAACTTGATGGCGGTTCTCGGATGATAGGTTATGTCATGCTCGCTGAGCTCTATGGCCCATTTGGCGAGCCTTCCTGAGAGTTCAGGTTTGTGTAGGATGCCCCTTAGGGGGAAGGTTGTTATCACCTTTATGGGGTGGCACTGAAAGTAGGGTCTAAGCTTTCGTGAAGCTACGACTAATGCCAAAGCCAACTTCTCGAGGTGCGGATACCTCGTTTCGGCATCTATCAGAGTTTTGCTGATATAGTAAATCGGGGATTGCGTACCTTTGCTTTCGCGAACTAGGACGGCGCTGACGGCGACTTCTGACACCGCCAGATAGACGAGCAGGCATTCGCCGGGATCTGCTTTGACGAGCAAGGGTGGTGAAGATAGATATTCCTTAATGCTTCGACGCATTCTTCGTCCCATTGCAACCCTCGATCTTTCCTCAGTACATTAAAGAATTTGTGACACCTGTCCGAGGATTGCGAGATGAATCTTGACAGAGAGGCTATTCGCCCAGTTAGTTTCTGCACCTGCTTCTTGCTATTCAGGGTTTCTGGTATCATCTCTATGGCCTTGATCTTGTCTGGATTGACTTCGATACCTCGCTGGGATACGAGAAAACCCAGGAACTTTCCGGAAGACATGCCGAAAGCATATTTTTCCGGGTTTAGCTTCATCCCGTATCGTCTTAGTATCTCAAAGGCTTGTTTTAAATGGTCGATGTGATCCTCCTTTTTAGCCGACTTTACTAGCATGTCGTCGATGTAGACCTCCATTGTCTTGCCGAGCTGTTCCTTGAACATCTTGGTGACCAGCCTTTGGTATGTTGCGCCGGCGTTTTTGAGCCCGAAGGGCATCACCTTGTAGCAGTAAGTCCCTTGGTGGGTGATAAAAGTCGTTTTTTCCTGGTCCTCATCGGCCATCAGGATCTGGTTGTAACCAGAATAGGCATCCAAAAAGCTTAGCAGCTCGTGTGCGGCTGTTGCGTCTATCAGCTGATCGATGTGAGGTAATGGGAAGGAGTCCTTTGGGCATGCCTTGTTCAAGTCAGTGAAATCCACGCACATCCTCCATTTCCCTCTTTTCTTTTTGACCATGACCACGTTGGCGACCCACTGGGGGTACTTCGATTCCCTGATGGACCCATTGGCTAGTAGCTTATCTACTTCTTCGCTGACTGCCTCATTGATTGCAGCGTTGAACTTTCTCCTTACCTGCCGCACGGGCGGATAGAGTGGGTCGACGTTGAGTTTGTGAGTGGCGGTGTCTTTTGATATCCCTGACATGTCAGAATGGGAGAAGGCGAACAGACCTGCATGGTTAGTTAAGAATTCATGGTACTTACCTGGGTCGGAGAGGTTATGCCCGATGTATGCTTTTTTCGAACTGTCGGTGCTGTCCAACATGACAGGGTCGAGGTCCTCCATTGTCGCTTTGCAGGCTTCTACGATATCGGGGTCCCTGATGCCTTCCGTTGTCGGGGTGATTTTGGTCACCGACATGGCTGATTGCTATGCTTCCGCACTTGCCCCTTTTAGTTGCTTGGTGTGGGTGCAATCCTGGGCGATTCGGTAACATTCTTGGGCGGTACGTGGCTCGCCTCGGATACTGGACATTCCCCATGAGGTAGGAAACTTGATTACCTGATAGAGGCTCGATGGGACGGCTCGCATGGCATGTATCCATGGACGTCCTATGATGACGTTGTAAGCCGTTTCCTGGTTCATGATGTGGAAGGTGGTGTCCAGCGTGACTCCTCCCGCCAGGACCGGCAGTGATATCTCTCCGGAGGTGCGTTCTACTGCATTGTTAAAACCCGTTAGTGTTATGCAACGCGGTATTACTTTATCCTCAAGCCTCATTTGCGTGAGGACTCTCGGATGGATAATACACGCGCCGCTTCCGTCGTCTACCATAATTCTCTTTACATCAGTATCAGCAATGCGTAAGGTTATGACTAAAGCATCATAGTGAGGGAAAGACAAATCGTCGGCATCAGACTTATCGAAGGTGATACAATCTTCGAAGTCATCATACCGTTCGTGAGCGATTGTGCGCTTCAGTTTGTGCGTGGTGGTGAACTTGACGTGGTTGATTGTCGAATTGTCACCGCCGCCGACAATCATCTGTATGGTTCGTGTCGGGGACGGCGGTTTTGGCGGCCCTTGAGATTGGTCGCGTCCCCTGGCGAAGTTGGCTCTTCCTTTGTCGCTGAGCAGCTCCTTCAGGTATCCCTGGTTCAGCATCCTGACTACTTCTTGTCGTAGGCCTATGCAGTCTTCGGTCCTGTGTCCCCGTTCCTGGTGGAACTCGCACAGGACGTTTGGTTTTCTTGCACTAGGATCTGATTTCATTTTTGGCGGCCAGTGTACCTTCGGGCCTAGCTTCTCCAGTGCGTATACTATCTCTGAGGGTGAGACACAAAAGTTATGAGCGGATAATAACGGAGGCATACCTCTTTCATTCCGGAGCGTAGCAGTATGTCGTTGCAAGGCGTCCTGGTGTCTCGGAGGAGGCGGGTTAGGGGCTCTAACGTAGGGCTGATGCCTTTCTCTGTTAAATCGTGGGAGTGGGTCCCATCGCCCGTCATTGCGTCGATCTCTCCTAGTTTCCGTCTGTACTAACGTTAGCCGCTGGGTCGGACTGCTAAGGTCGTCCTCGTCTGCCCTTACCTCTGCACAATAGGCGTTGTGTATCTCCTCCCACGTTGTGGGGGGATACTTCATGAGTCGGCTGAGTAGTTTCTTGGTTGCTTTTGACCCGTCCCTGCTCAAACCGTTTTGGAAGGCGGCAACTGCCATTCCCTCCGATACGTTAGGCAGGCTCATTCTTACTCTGTTGAATCGTGCCAGGAAGTCCCTGAGCCCTTCGCCTGTCGTTTGCCTGATCGCAAATATGTCGTTAACCCTTGCTTCGGCCTTCTTTGCTCCCGCATGGGCGGTAGCGAATTTGTCCGCCATCTCCTCGAACGTTGATATCGACCTAGCCGGCAGTTGCGAATACCATGTTAGTGCCCCTCCGGTCAGGGTTTCTCCGAACTTTTTCAGCAGCACGGACGGCACCTGCTCCTTTGACAAGACATTTCCTTTCACAACGGTTACGTAGTGGATCAGATGATCTTCTGGGTCCGTGGTCCCATCATATATTCTCAAATATGGGGGCATCTTGAAGGTTTTTGGGATCGGATGAGGGGCGGCTTCCTCGCTGTATGGTTGCTCGGCGAAACATCCTACGTCGCGTTTCGGCAGTAATTTTGGTGCACCGGGTATTTTGTCTACCCTTTCCTGGTGCTCTTTCATTTGGTCACGGAGTGCCTTATTCTCATTCTCCATTTCTTCCATTTTTCTTAGGATGGTTGCTAGCGCATCGTTGCTTACGATGATGTCTGTATGAGCGTTGCTCATCCGCATAGCACCTGGTTCGCTGGCGGCTGCGGTAGTCGCTGCCGCTGGCGAATCGGTGGGGTTTCCCGGAGACGGTTTCTCGAGCAGGCCGCTCAGGGTGTTTGTCAGC